TGGGAAGAGAAGGGAGTCATAGAAAGAGGCACCAAAGGAAGGTCTGAGAGCCCAGGGATATTTTGTTCATGGAGGAGCGTAGTTGAGTCCAGAGCATGCAGATCTCAGGTCTGCATGAGGGTGGCTCAGCTCCTGAGTTTCAGTTTGTTCATCTGCACAGGGGAGCAGCCCAGCGCTGGGTTTGTGCTGATTAGAGGTGGCGTGTGCAAAATGACTAACATATACCCAACCCAAGACTGGGACTTGAGTGAGCAGGACACTGAGCCCTGTTGTTTAGTCACTGCGTACCTCTCAGTTCAGCAGGGAGCAGGCAGGGGCACCCAACACTTCACGAGAAGGTGTATCCATTACGTTTTCATTGTGACTGGAACAACTTAGAGGAAAGTTGGTTGTGTCTGAACACTTGGACCTTATGCTCAGCTGGGTTTGGAGAGGGCTGTGCAACCTTTGGGAGATGAAGCCTCATTGGAGGAAGTGGATCACTAGGGAACCTCTGGAGATTTTAACCCTCCCCCCATCCCATTCCTGTTCATTTTCTTCCTGACCACTGGAGCCATAGATTAGCTGCTTCCTGCTTCTGCCAAGCCTGTCTTGCCATGCCGTACTGTAACCCCTCAAACTAAAAACCAAATAAACCCTACTCTACTTACATTGTTTCTTGTCATGCATAAGATAAAATGTGTATAGTGCAAAGATCGTAAGAGCCAGAATGGCAGCAAGTCCTTGTGAGATTGTCTCTCCTAAAGCTGCTGCATAAATACCACCTGAGCAATGACCATCAAAGGGGGATGATTAAAGGGCCCAACTCCTACAAGAATTGCAGGCACTAATGCCTGCTGAGAGAGGGAGGGTTAGCCTCTCCTGGGCATAAGCCCCTGATGGGTTATCTAATACAAATCAGTCAACCCTTATCTATATCATCTATCTCTATCTCTATCTATATCTATATCTATATATCTATATCATCTATATCTCTATCATCTCTATATATCTATATCTATCTATATATCTATCTATTCTATAATGTGTGCATGTATAAACATATATTTAACCAGCTATATTTATATTTATATATTTATGCATATGTTTATATTTCTGTTTGTATATTATATATATATATATAATGACAAAGAAAAGGAGGTTATCAATTTGAGACTTAGGGGAGGGGCATGAGGGTTGGAAGGACTAGACATGGAGAAGAAGAAGATACCTGGCATTTCCAATGACGAAATGAAATGATCACATTTGCCTTGTAGAGGCTAGATTGGAGGCGGGGCATCCTGCTGGGAGAGTGTGTTTGTGGTCCAGGTGGAGATGACTGATGTGGCTGGAGCAGAGATGGAATGGGCGTTGAGACACAGCTGGCTTATTGGGGAGCGTCACTGAGATGGGTTGGGAGACAATGAGGAAGCCCTGCTGTCCTAGGAAAATTACCGGAAGGTGACGCTGGTCACAAAGATGGTGAAGCCACCATTCAATACACAAGTCATTCCAAGGGAGAAAGTAAAACTACTGGCAAAGGAGTGAATCATAGGTCAAATTGGTCGGTGAGTTCCTGAGCTTGTGTCATGACTAGACAAAGAATGACAAGGACTTGGATTGTAACCCATATTGACTCATGGGGATAGAACAACTGACTCCAGGAAGCCTGTCCCTATGTCCCAGTGGCCTGTGGCTTGTCTGTAGACCAGCCAGCAGCCCTGTTTTCCTGGCCAAAGGTTGGCCTGTTTGCCCTGTGAATGTTGTGTGGGATACCATGGGTATAAACAGAGCCCAGCCAGTCCCCTAAATCAAGAGACAATGAGGCTTAGCAACCAAACAAAACAGTGCTGGTTTCTTTTATCATCAGAGGTGATGTACAGGGAGCAGAGAATGGTTCACATTTTAAAGGGAGAGAAAACCCCACACTGTAACATTCTGGTGCTTTGGGATGCATCTTGTGAGACCATCCTCAATTTTGTTCATCAGAACTACTCTACTAAGAAAGTTCTTTTCTTTCTGCGTAGACAGTTTGTTTAGGACAGCAGCGATCACAGAAGCAGTCTTTGTCCTACCCACAACCCAACAACCCTAGCAGATCCTCAGTTTAGTTCTCCACATAATCTGCTTATTCTTGTATCTTTACAAGCAAAAATTTCAGCTAGAGTTTAATGTGTGCATCTGCCTAGTATCATATCAAAGCAGGTCTGATGTCACGATGTAGTAAGAGTTTGGGGACCATTCTTTATGGCTACATGAATACTACTGAGAATATATTACAGCATGTAGGTATATTACAGCATGGGGTATTCATGATGTTTCTAAGTTTTCTCTTATTAGAAGCCCCACACCTTTGCATTCTTACTTTCCGATACTTTATTAGATCTTATTAATAGATCAGAAAGTGTGAGTATTTTGTGGCTCCTGACGTATGTTGTACAACTGCTTCAAAGGAACACTGTATTAATAGGAACCCTGGCAACCTGAAGATTCTAGTTGTACTATAGATTTAAAAAATATTATGTTTACTTGGTGTATGTGCACATGAGCACATGAGCATATACATGCACACACACACACACACACACACACACACACGTATACATACATATACATGCCATAGCATTCATGTGGAGGCCAGAGGACAACTTGTAAAAGTTGGTTCTCTCGTTTCACTGTGTGGGTCCTGGTGGGTGGAGCCATCAGGTTGACAGCAAGAGCATTATACACTCACTGAGCCATCCTGCTGGCCTTTTACTACAGTTCTGACAGCACCAAATGTTACCGTTTTCATATTATCAGCTAATATTAGAGGGCTCAACAGAGCCCCTCACTGCTGACCCCATTTGCACGGGAGATATTTCCTGGGGCTGCACACAAGCGAGGCCCCGCTTTTCCTGAGAAATTAGTGTGCCCTGATAGATGGCTGGGACTCCGGAGTCACTACTGTTGTCTAGTTTGCTTGGGTGGTTAGGAAACTCAGAACCCAAATTGTGACTTTCTTGATTCAGTGTTTGCTTCTCTTCTCATTCCAGGCCTACCACTAGTGTTAATACTTAAACATTGTTAATACCTGCTTTGGTCCCTTGCTCTACAGATGGTCACACAATGAGCTCTGGAGGGGCTGGCCACAGGCTGAGACAAATGTGAGGCCGAAAGGCCATTAAACCTTGGTATAGGCTTAGACTGCACAGCAGGGCAAGGGGCTCCCAGAGCAGTTCAGTGACACAAGCTGGGATAGTGCATTTTACACAGGACAGGACAATACCGGGGTGGGATGGGGGCACCTTATGTAGTTCAGAGAATGCCTCCATCCTTTTTGGTTATCACTGATTCTTGTGTATGTTTATGTGCATGCGTGTGGAAGGCAGAGATCCCCGTTAAGTGTCTTTTCCGCCACTCTCCACTTTATCTTTTGAGATAGGTTCTTTACTGGGATCTACGGTTCTTCAGATAGGCTGGGTTGGCTGGCTCGCAAGTCCCACCAATCCTTCTATCTCTATATCCCTAACACTGGGATTATAGGAACTTGAGTGCCACCGTGCACAGCATTTTACATGGGTATTGGGGATGTGAACTCAGACCCTCATATGCATAAGCAAGCACTTTACCTGGTAAGCCACGCCCCCACAAGTCCATAAAAGAATGTTCACAGTCTCATTTCCCTCTCCAAGTGGTTCTGTGATATTCTTGCACTGAGCATCGTGTGAGCTATCTCTTCTCTCCCCGCATCCTGAAGCTCACAGGAAGAAAGGCTGCCTGTCTATTCTCCACACTGAGGGTACTTGGTTTCCCAATGTGTCAGCACAGGCAATCTTCATGCTGGCACCCTAAGATCTCCGTTTTTCCCTCTGTTCACCTCTTTCCCACTGGTTGAGTTGACACCACCGCCTGTTATCCCTCTGATTAAGGGCAGACTACATGACTCCCCTGAGTCCTCAGATATCACAGAAGGGAACCAAGGTACACAAAGATTGCATATGTCAAGTCCAAACCTCTAACCGGTTCACAGTGCATGGATGGAGATGAAAAGGAATGCCAGTGTGTGCCAAGAGTCTTCTCTCTAGGGGAAGCCCTTGAGCTTGCACCCTAGCAGCAGGGGAGCGTGCATGCTTAGCATCTCTTCAGGCAGGACAGTGTGCAGCTTCATCTCTCTGACCATGCACATCTGCTCAGGGCTCAGCCAGAAGGGAGCAAGGGAGCAGCGCCCAAGGGTTCCGAGTAAGTGTAAAGAGGAGAGCTTCAGAGGAAAGAATGAGCCTTTAGTCTGAAACACACTGTCGAGTGTTTACTAAGCCCGGGACTGTACATCTAGTTAACACCCTCCCCCCACCCCTATTTCTTGAAGGCTTCTTCAAGGCACAGGTTCTTGTCATTTCTATTTTAAAGATTTTGTTTTTATTTTTAATCACGTGTGCACACATGTGCATCTGTGTGTGAGGGCGTGCCCCGATGCTCTCAGGTGAGACCAGGTAAGATGACATGAAGTAGAATCGGGTGACGGCAAGAGGTTGCCTGTGCTACTGGACACGGGTTGGTCCTGGGAGATCTCTGAGCAGAGAGAGCTTGCTAGGAAGCCCAAATGTGGTCTTTAGAGATGGAAGCCTGTGACATGTGGGTGACCTTGCATTCTTGTAGGAGGTGTGGGGAGGACAGGGCCAGCTTGTAGGGATGAAGGAGGGATAGTACACAGGCCTAGTTACAGGGCTGAAGGTGGGCTTGGTTCCAGGCACAAGAAGAATTAGTATATTTTAGACCAGGCTGGGCTCCCCTGTGTTTTATTCAAAGGAATCCCCACATGTCCAAAGACTCCTAGCAAGTCAGTGCATCCATCAGGGCATCAGGGTCTGAGTCTGTCTCCTTCCCTGTCCCAACCCCCACCCCCTACCCCTTGTCCCGATGGGTAAATGGTTTTTGTGTTGTCTTACAGATAGGGCCTGTTTCCTTCCCTGTCCTGCCACACACACACACACACACACACCCTTTCCTGATGGGTAACTGGCTTTCGCATTGTCTTACAGATCATAAGGCAGCAGTTCCCTCAGCTAACCACCAGAAGACTCGGGACCCGAGGACAGTCAAAGTAAGCACCTCAGCCCGCTGCCTGCCTTCACAACACTCGCCTCGAGGCCAGACCTTAGACTGCTCCCCTGGAGCTGGATCTGCAGGCCTTGAGGGGATCTGAGCCTAAGGGGGGACATGGAGGAACTTTGTGACATCGAGGCTCTTTCTCAGGACCCTTCAGAGAGAGAGATAGAGAGAGAGATGCCGGCCATCCAAAATCCTGGGGCCTTTGGGCCAGTCAGTTGTCTTCTGACCCGGTACCACCCTGCCCTCAAGTGTTCCTTGTAAAGCAATCTGTACATATTTGCAAGGAGTCCTGAGACTTCTTCCACTATCTCCAGGTCGCTTGCACTCTTTTAGTCGAGTAACCTGTGCCCTGATAGTACACAGTGGGCCACAGACACCATCCATCTCCAACCACATGAGGGAGAGGCGGGAGGTTCCTCTCACTGCCTCGGCGCTTTTCTACCAGCCGGCCGACATTTGCTTCACGTTCTTGTCTGAGACAGGTTCCTACTCTGTAAACTGGAAGAGTTCACCCACGGTCCTCTCTCCTGGGCCTCTCACATACTGAGTTTATGAGTCTCATCATGCCTGGCTTGCTAGAAACACTCTGTTATGTAAGACAGGCATGAGAAGAAGACTTCAGGTCAAGTAGAGAATAAGAAGGGTGGGACGCAGAGGTCTTCCGGAGGCACTAACCCTTGAGACCAGAGAAGTGACAGCCAAGAGGACACCTGTCTCCCAGGTGTGTACCACAGAGGGTCCCCTGCCTGTCCTACTCCATCAAAGACCTCTAAGGATATTTTGGAAACTTGAAGGGCTCAGGACGTGTCCCTTGGAAGAGGGAGGTGGCCACAGAAGTTTTGCCAGCCCCAGTTCAACAGCTCCTTTTACTGGGAGACTTCTAAGAACCTTTGTTATGCTAATGTGCACAGCAGCTCCACTAGAGGGTGCCTTCCTCTTAGGCAGTATTCTAGACCTTTGACCACCCTGAGCAAGGCAGCACAAGGAGCCCTCAAATGTCCAAACCTCTTTAAGAGGAAAAACTTTAAATCACCGGTACAGGACTTAAAAGTCTTGCCTTGTGTGTGAGTGTGGGGGTGGGGTGGGGGTAAAATCATACGTGACCCTGAGAAACAGTGGCCCCATGGCTCACGCTGGCCTCTGAGCTGTACACCCTAGGTTTTCTTTCGTTTTAATTTAGGTTGGTTTTTTTTTTTTTTTTTGATGAGACAAGGGTTTTCGATAGCCCAGGCTGGCTTCAAACTGGATGTGTGGCAGAAGAAGGCCTTGAACTCCTGATCCCCCTAATACTGTGATCCCAGGCCTATGCCACCACCCTGGCTTTGAGCTGGATGTTCTTATCATCCAATGAAGGGATCATCAAACTTGGGAAAACCCTTTTCTGGTAAAGTCTGAAAATAAGAGTAGGGATGTGTTTGTGTGTGTGTGTGTGTGTGTGTGTGTGTGTGTGTGTGTGTGTGTCTGTGTGTGCCTATTTGTGTCTGTGTATGTGTCTATCTATGGCTATGAGCATCTGTGTGTGTGTGAGAGAGAGAGAGACAGAAACAGAGACATACACACACACACACACACACACACAGAGAGAGAGAGAGAGAGAGAGAGGAAAGAGAGAGGAGACACACTTAGGAGAAATTCCAAAGGACCATCCAGAAAAAAAATTGAATAAAGAACATCTTAAGTTAATTTCTCAGTGCTTTATTCCCCAGGGTGATTACATTGAAGAACAAACTTCCTAACTTCAATTATAAAGAAAAATCCTGGTATTTTGTTTAAAAATAAGGTTGCAACTTCAATAAGAATAGAATGCAAAACTCAGAATCTTTTAAAATTGTTTGTTGTGATCACAAAGTCGATAACTCGAAATCTTGGTTGAGCGAGATTTGAGCCACACATGGTAGCTCTGCCTGTCATCCCAGGACTTTGGAGTCTAAGGCAGGAGACAGGAGTTTGAGACCACAGGATTTAAAGGTCAGCTGCCTGAGTTACACAGCAAGACTGACTAAAAGGATGCTGAATGGATGGAAATTTTTGGAAACTTTTGTCTAGCCTGTGCTCTTTGGAAAACCACTGACTCACACACACACTCTGTGATTTCTAAGAGAGTAGGAATAGTAAAGTTGATGAATGTGAAACCAGAAAGGGTGGAAACAGAACATGCATGTTTCCTACCCTGCATGCCCTTGAGACATCATCCCCTCTGAGAGAGCCTGTGTTTCCTCTGTCCTTCTCTTCGTCTTTATTCTACATGTTAGCAGGCTGGGCAGCATCTTTTCGAAGTTCTGCACACTCAGAGCCACATTCTACCATTTTTAAAAGGGTCCTTCCATGTTGTTCACATCCTCAGTCAATCTAAAGGCAACAAGATGCTTGAAGCTACATATGAGTCTCTTGTTGCAGGGTGGCCTCCCCAAATCCCCCAGCAAGCCCACTTAGATAGACCAAACATAGGCTTGTTTAATGAGGAGTGTTGATACTCCCTCCAGAACCAAACAAACCAGAACAGTAGCTTCAACATGATTGTAGATCTCAGAAACATGCACAGATTAATCAAGGAGTAAGCTGTACTATCTTATAATAATGTAAATATTCCATAATGTTGTATTAAGACATGGCTGTCTTGGCTTTAGGCAGCTATGAGGGACATTTTAAAGCTAAGCCAGTGTGCTACAACTGTCTTCCCTGCAGAAGGCACCTATGGAGCCACTGGAACAGCCCCTCCCCCACAGATGGAAAAGGCAGTTATGTGACAGTTGGGAAGTAGAAGGCCCAGACGGTAGATATTAGCTCAACACAAAGAACTTTCTGGTAACTACATCGGCTGAAAATGAACTGGGCTGCCTTCGGAGGGCCTGAGTTCTTCATCCCAGGAGGCATGCAGATGGAGGCGAGCTGCCCACTGGGCAGAAATTTCACAGAATGGTACCAGCAGGAAGGGGGCTGTGAAGGGAAGGTTACATGCACCCATCTCTCCCTCCTGGTGAACACCTTTCCCAAGACTCAAAATGCTCCCCTAGACCCATCACCATGTTGCTGTGGATAGAGAAAAGTAGCTGATGCATTGGCCAGTGTTTCTGAAAATGAGGCGCGTGGTTACCAGAGCATTGCCACTGCACTGTGAAACTCCACCCTAGACCCACTAAATCGGAATCTTGGGGGTCAGGATGCTGCTGTGTGCTCTGTGGGTGATTCTTAGTGTTAATAAAGCGTGGGAATCACTGACTGACAGAGGGGCAAAGCCCATTAGAGGTTCAAATCCTGCCTCTGTTGTCCGCTCACTTGGGTGGTCTCGGCTGCATCGGTTAAAATCTCTAGACCTCTAGTTTCCTTGTTTGTAAAATGTGAAGTGTGTTATTTCTAGCCTCGTGGGGATTTTGTGAAATCAGATAGTGGGTGACAAGCCTTTCTTGCCATGAAGCTCGAGCTGGTCCATGGCCCCATTTGCAGATGTTCTGAATTGGTGGGTTCTCTGAAGGGGTCTAGGAACCTGCATGTTTATTAAACTCTAAAGTACTTTTGGGACACCTCCTGTTTACTGTTAATACTGCGCAGGGGCTATGCAGGCAAACAGACTAGCCTGACACCTTGCTCTTGCCTGAAATTGCGCTACACCCTTGAGCAAACTGCTTGCCTTGTCTGTTCTTATCTTTAGTATGACCACAACTACCCTCATTTCAGAAGTTTATTTTCAAATTAATTTGAATAAAAAGCACTTTGTAAAGTGTTCAGAACCTAAGTGCTCAGTAGATTGTTACTAAAAGTAGAAAAAACAAAGCCCCACCATCTCCACCACCACCAAATGCAGCTTCCTTCCTTCCCTCTTTAGTTATAACTGGGGGAAAAAAGTCTGCAGTTATATCAATTGTGAGTTAAGAAAAAGTTTCAGTCTTTGGCATTCAGGGTCAAGTGAGGCACTGAACGGATCTGCTTAACATTACAGCTTTTGCTGGGTGTGGGTGCACACGCCTTTAATCCTAGCACTTGGGAGGCAGAGTCTCTGAGGTAGGTGTCTGAGGGTTCGAGGCCAGCCTGGTCTAAATAGCAAGATCCAGGCCAGTCAGAGTTACACAATCAAACCTAATCTCAATAATAATAAAATAATTTTTAAAAAATTACAGGTTGTTGAGACTAGCCTTCGCTGAAGAAAAGAGTCATGGCCAGGTGAAATTTTTGGTGTTAAATGAACACATTCTGCTGCCTGGATCCTCAAAGAGGGGACACTCAAGTGTTAGGTACTTTTGGGAAGGAATTTGGTAGACATTAGAGAGACCAGGTATAAATGGAAAATTTCTCATCCCTTTTTTGCTTTGCAAAGTATTTGACTTAACATTTTCTGTAGGAGGCAATTTTAGTTATTTTTACCTGCCTGATTGATGGCTGGCAACATGGAACTTTGGCTTAATTGTAGATTTCAGGGATGTCAAACCTTATAGAAGAGTTAACTCTTTCAGCCCTGGGTTGGATATGTCCAGCCATCCTTGGTGCTGGACAGCATTCTCCACCCTAGGAAACCCCCATGTAATCATGACCCACATGAACTCTTATCTGCCTCTCTCTTGGTGGCCCAGGTACCATTACTATGGGATAGCAGTGAAGGAAAGCTCCCAGTATTATGATGTGATGTATTCAAAGAAAGGAGCTGCCTGGGTGAGCGAGACGGGCAAGAGAGAAGTGACCAAACAGACAGTGGCATATTCTCCCCGGTCCAAGCTTGGGACATTGCTGCCAGACTTTCCAAATGTCAAAGATCTAAATCTGCCAGCCAGTCTTCCTGAGGAAAAGGTAACCTCATGCAAAGTGAACCCTCCCTCCCTCTCTCCCTCCCTCTCTCCCTCCCTCTCTTCCTCCCTCCCTCCCTCCCTCACTCCTTCCCTCTGTCCCTCCCCGCTCATACATTTCAGAGAATTCCTGAATGTCTATGGTGATTTGTTTGTTTGTTTGTTTTGCAGAAGCACTTATACAAACAATGCACTGGGTTTTATATTTTTTTTTTCCCAGTGTCTTAACCCCAAGGATAATTTAGTCCCCTTAAGCCACATTGGACACCTGAGTGTGAAGAGCACATTGTTTGATTTTCCTGGAGCCCAGAGTCTCAGGGTGGAAGATGGAGGCAGAGTAAAGCCAGTGCTTTTGTAGTGCAGGGTGGTGTTTGGGTGTCATGTGAGCACAGAGCCAGGAGCCAAGGTCATAGAACATCACTTAAGGGCTATCCTTTCCCTTCAGGATGCATGGCCCTTGTGTGAAGTCTGCCCTGCGATTGAATAAATGGTGTCAACACTGAGATTCCCCGGACAGCCACACTGGGTACTAATGTCTTTCTTTGTCATTGATCCTTCCGTCACCCCACAGGTATCCACCTTTATTATGATGTACAGAACGCACTGTCAGAGAATACTGGACACTGTCATAAGAGCCAACTTTGACGAGGTAGGTCAGCAGCGTTACACTGTGAATACTCTGTTAAAATATTGTTCTTCCCTCCCACTCCTACGGAAGAGCTCCCACCAGATGCAGAGTCTGGCGTCTAGAAGCCCTTGTCCGCCACTGGCCACTTAGCCTTCCACGGCAACACTACCAGGCAGGAACTGCTATTGTCCCTGGAGGTCACTGCCCATATCAGGTGTCCTTGGCTTTTCCTTGATTTGTCTAGAGAATGACATATTCGGGAGACCAGCTTGCCAGCATGTCAGTACACCTACGCATATGGTTTCTGAGAAGCTAAATAATATTTTGGTTTTAACCTTTTCCTGGGATCAAGCACCTTATTGCTTTGGGGGTAATTGCCCTCCTCCTCCCTCAAGGCCTCTGTCCATTTCCCCCATTTTTTCAGTAAGACCATCTTTCAATGCAAGAAGCCCGCTTTATTTATGCTTTAGGATATTGCATTCAAGAAAAGAACACAAAGAGAAAAGCAAAAAGGAATCGAGGTACCCGCTTAACCAGAGGGTTACTAAAATCCTCATACACACTAAGCCACCTACCTCACCCACCAGAGCAGAGGCCTCCATGTTTAAAGATGGCGTTTTGATTTTTTTGGTTAGAACGGCGGCGGCGGCACCTGGGGCATTGGATATGGATGTTCAATTCAAGGGAGAAGAGTTGGGCTCTAAATGAGCTACAAACCCTGACACTACTGTGGAAAACACCCCAGAGATCCCATGTGTTTTGACAGGCTACATTTCTACCGTGTCTTCCCCTTGTTGGCTGGCTCTGTAGACACAGCACCAGGAGAGATGTCAGTGTGTTCGTGATTGACAGGCCTTTCTTCCTTCTCTCACATTTTGTGCCTTCATCTCTAAAATGTCCTTCAAATTTTCCTGAATCCTTGGAGTGGACATTTCAGTGGATTTTTTTTTTAAGTTTAAAAAAATTACTGAAATCAGCAAATAATGAGTTACAAACAGTTAAGATGGCACTAGCTGCTACAACAAATATACCCCAAATCTTAACCTTCCAGAAGCTTTCGCTTAGTCATGTCACAGTCTAATATGGATACTCTTTAGTGGAGACGTTGATGACCAGGGCTGACTTAGGGACCCAGGCAGCTTCTAGCCGGTGGGCCAGAGTCTCGGGGTCCTGTTGTTCAGCCAGAAGTCATGCCCCATTCTTAACGTCACCATTGTGTGAACCCCATGACTACTATGCCAATCTCATTTTCACATGCAACTTTATTTCATTCAAAACTCATCCCCATTTCATTTCCCTTCCATTCACCTAGTCCCAGCGCTTAGTGGTTATCCGAGGTTGCCATATGTTACTTACTCATTTTAGAGAGATATTTAATGCACAGACTTACGGGGAGAAGAAAGGGGGTATGGGGAAGAACAGGCTCAAGTCCTAGCTCTACATTGTAAGTATCAGTTTCTCAGCCAAGAAAATAAAGAAGCACCCCTACCAGTATGATTGATGGGATGAGTAAAAGGAGGAGACTCACAGTTCATAAACTGTAACCGGTATTACAGAGATACATGCTATTATCAGACATCCACTCATCCAGACAACAAAGAGACTTGCCCAAGGTCACACAACTGGGTAAGACCACAGCTGTGACTGTGACTTTTGTTACCTGATACCTTTAGTCTGGCAGCCTTTAAGGTGCCTAATCCAGGCATGGCTCAGTCCACCTAGCCACAACAGAAGGAAGCAGGGATCTACTGGGCCAATACAGAAGGGAGGGCAGAAAGGCTTTTCTTCTAAGAAAAGTCTTCAGTAAATGGACTGTTTAATCCCGGGCATTACAGTATCCAATCCACAGGAAGGGCCCTTGTCCATCTTGTCCACTGCTCATCCTAGCTGGCTATACTTTCAGACTTTGGTACGTACTGGTGGGGGGGGGGTGCAGGAGGATGTTTGGATTGGTAGGTCGGGGATGGTTGGACAGATGGGTACAACCCATTAGAACATTGTTAAGTAGTTTTAAAACTCAGACATTCACATGGAGAGGACTCCTCTGTCGACAACATATCACAATGGGTCCTAAGTCCCACGTTTGATTCCCCCAAGCCATCATTTACTAGCCTGTGACTGTAACCAAATGCATTTTCTGCCTCTGAGCCTTGCTGTCTATTGAAAAAAGAAATTACGATTGTCATAATCTCATAGAAAAGTTGGGGTATATACTAAACAGCATATATAAAGTGTCCAACTCTGTACTAGTACATAATAGATGATAGGCATTTTGGTAACTCTTGGTTTGCTAAGCACCTTCCAATGCCATGCCAATTAAGCACTCAACTACACATCATTAGATGTCTTTCTACGTGTTGCCAGTGTGTTTACTATAAACTAGATATGGACATGGAAAAGAGATTAAAAATCGTAATAATATTGCTTAGGTGTTTTAAAAGTCAGGGGACTGACCAGGCAGTGGTGGTGCACACCTTTAATCCCAGCACTTGGGAGGCAGGTGAATATGGAGTAAGTTTCAGGATAGACAGGACTGTTTCACAGAGAAACCCTGTCTCAACCACCCTCTCCAGATTAGGGGAATGGAGAGTTGGCTTAGTGGTTAAGGGCATTTGCTGTTGTTGTAAAGACCCGAGTTCGATTCCCAGCACCCGCATGGAAGTTCATCACATTCTTGAACACTAGGGATACATGTGGTACACAGCCGTACATGCAGAGGGAGGTCAGAGCAGCTGTCTGCCCTTGGCAGAAATGCTGTTTGTGTCCCATTTCACAGCTGGCCTCCAGGTCTCAACACTTAAAAATCCCCCTTATTCCCGCTTCTTGCTGTCCTTCGCCAGGGCAATGGGAACCATTGTCATCCAATGACACACAAAGAGAAGGAAGGGGGGTCAACAGTGCGTAACACACTTGACAAAATGGCTGCCATGAACTTGGGGATCAATAAGGGTTCCTTATGTGACTTGAGCAGGCTTCTGACAGACAGTTGTCCACTAAAGTCTCTCAATGGACTTGTTTCATCCTGCATGGCAGCTGATATTTCCCACGGTTCTCACTGGAAGCTGGCAGCTTACAGAGCATAGGGACTGAGTGTAAGCAGAGTCAAAGGGTGCAGGATGAGATGGTAAGGCTTCTTACAGTAGAAGATCTAGCGCCTAGCTAGATGTCAATGCCCAGGGGTGGGCTGGGATCTGGGACCCAACCCTGGCAAGTGTCTGCAGGGTGGTGCACACATCAGGCAGAGACAGAAAGCTCTGGAGTGGCTGCAGCAGAGAAGGACATGGGCCCAGGGAATCAGCCAGAACCCCAGTTACATGTAGTATGCAAGATGATCCCAAGGCTGATGGTGGAAGGAGCCACGCCCCACCTTTGGATTGCTGCCTGGCTCCAGGCAATGAGCTTGGTAGCTCTGTAAGTGGGAGTAAAGATCCTGGGCTCAGTTATCACCAGCACTGTCATACAAGAGAACTCTGTAATGCTCCATGCACACGGGGAAGGAGCACTCAGAAAAAGTAAAAATACTAGCTCCGAAGCAACAAGGCCAGGCTATGTTTCTCACACGGGATCAGTCCTGGCTCACGGGAATCAGCAACCTGGAGCATGCTGCGTGTGGGGTTGGAGAGCGCCTGTCTTGAGGAATGGGAAGACTGGCGCATAACCCAGGACTCAAGTCGGCCCTATAGAGACCCACAGTTGGGTGCTCACAGCTTCCTCGTGGGCTTTTCAGTTTAGTCTTTGCGTATGTAAGGTTACCTGTTTCTGTTTCCCCTCCCTCGTCTCATTCCTCTACCTTCCTCCTCAAACCACAGCCTAGAAGTGACACTCTGCTTGCAACACCCCCTCCGGCATTGGCATTCACTTTCACTATACTAGCAAGGATTCCGTTGTGAGCATCCAGCAGAGTGTCCTGGAGACAAAGAAAAGGCCAATCGTGTTTCACATACCCTTCTATCTTACCACCCATGTGTCACCACCCATCATCTCATAATGACACCAGGCACTCTGAGAACACGGGAGCTCGGGGCATGAGAAGTTCCTTGCACTCTGTCCAGGGTTTTGGCACACATATTTGAAGTAGGAGGATTTCGCAGGTCGTCAGCACTTGTGCTCTCAATCTGTAACTACCATATCTTGTCCCTTCCTTCTCAGGAGACCCAGGAGCCACCGAGGCCTCAGTGACTTAATGTGTCCAGCCCTTCCTCCTTAACCAGCTCTCAGACTTGAGTTTACAGAGTTCATCTTACACTGAGGGGGCCAGACACCAATGGGCATGGGCAAGTGTGGGCAGTGGGGGAAGTCCCCACAGCATCCTGAGCTGGGGCAGCTCCCAGACTCAGGAGCTGCAGCCTGTGCTGTGGAAGCGGCATCGCAAGGCTCTGAATGCTACTCTCCCTGTTGGTCAACGCAGGTTCAAAGTTTCCTTCTGCACTTTTGGCAAGGAATGCCACCCCACATGCTGCCCGTGCTCGGCTCCTCCACGGTGGTGAACATCGTGGGCGTGTGTGACTCCATCCTGTACAAGGCCATCTCCGGGGTTCTGATGCCCACGGTGCTGCAGGCACTGCCGGATAGGTGAGTTTAGTGAGTCTGCATCCCTTCAGGAGGAGCCAGGCACTGGCTGTTATGTTTGTTTGTTCTGTTTTGTTTTTAACTATGATTGTAAGCAGGGCTGTGTAAAGATCATTAATAACGGTCTTTTAAAAATTAAAGGTTGTAGTTTGGAATGTAAATAAAATGTTTCTACTTGGAAAATGGTTCAAACTTCCAAAGGTAGAGAATGGCACGCAGTGGAAGTCACTTATGTTTTAAGTTCCCTGTACTTAGATTGCACACATTACATTATATCAGGTCTTTTATGTGTATTTACACCTGTCTAATATCCCACAACATGGAGCATGTTGAAGAGCGCCCTGTGTGTGCTGGGAATGCCGTCTTAAAGCTGCCGTCTGATGAGGTGCTCTGCAAATGTCTATTAGGTCATATGTCTTGACAGCAATGTTCATGTTCTCCTTGTCCTTAATGACTTTCAGTTTCTCTCCATTTTTGCTTCATTTTGAAACTAATTTTTGAAGATTTGTAGTTAAACATATTTAAGTTGGAATGTTCTGCCTGCTTGGGGAACTGATTCATCGCATTCACATATTATGACATTTGTGTTATTCATAATAGATATTGTCCCTAGGAATGCTTCTTGTTCAGCAGTTTACTTTGGTAGTAACATGGATACTAGAGCATTTTAAAGATCTCTGCCTTTTCTACCTCATTACTCTGTCATTCTGCTCGTACATTTGTCTTATGTTTTATAGTTAGCATAGAGTAAGATCGTGTGCAATTGTTTATCTAATCTGGCAGTTTTCCCCATCTAGACTTTACATTTAATGCAGTTACATGGTTGGTTCAATTTTTCATCTTGCCAGTTGTTCTAGCTTTACTGAGTCTGTCCGAAATGTCTTTCTTTTATGTATTCTCACAACTAGATTGTTATTTATTCATCTTTTAAAAAGTTAATAGTTGCTTTGATTTACATGTAGTATAAGAATCTTATCTGGGTGTGCTGGCACACACCCTATTCCCAGCATTTGGAAGGCAGAGGCAAGTGGATCTCTGTGAGTTCAAGGCCACCCTGGTCTACATCGTGAGTTCTAGGGCAGCCAGGGTTACATAATAAAGAGATCCCGTTTCAAAAAGCAAGAAAGGAAAGGAAGAGTCCTATGACAGTAATGTTCAGTGTGTCATCTCTTCTGTGTGTGTGTGTGTGTGTGTGTGTGTGTGTGTGCTGTTGTCATTTGTTTTTATATATGCTAAAAATTTGCAAGGTATTGTACTGTTTTTCCTTAGACAATTATCTGTCAGTGCGATTGAATGAAGAATGAAGTCTTTTATATCTACCTCCATTCTCATTATTCCTAATTTTCGAGGGGGTAAATTATGGCTGTCTGCATAATGTATTCCTCCCAGTGGAACGTCTTTATATTTCATGCTTTGTAGGTCTGATGGTGATGGCTTTGTTCAGGGGTTTTTGTTTTGTTTTGTTTGCTTGCTTGTTTGTTGTGTGTGTACATCTTGTGTGCGCACATGCGTGTGCGAGTGTGTGTGTGTGTGTGTATTAACATTTCTCCCTCACTTTTGAGAAGCATTCTCACTGGTCCAATGCTGGATTGACAAGTTATGCCTGTAATATGTTCACTGTGTACGTGTATGTCATGGTCTGCTTACTCGTGGTGGTTTGGATGAGAATGTCCCCCATAGGGTCAGATATTTGAACATGTGGTCCCAGTTAGTGGTGCTGTTTGGGGCTCAGGAGGTGTGACATTGTTGGAGGAAGCATGTCATGGGAGGTGGCCTTTGATACATTAGTGATTCTTGCCACGTCCAGCTTGCTTCCCCTGCTTTGTGCTTATGGTAAAGGATGTGAGCTCTCAATGTCCCGTTCCAGCTGCTCTGCCTCCGATTTACTGCAGCATTTCTCCACCATGACAACGTTTAGCCCTCTGGGACAGTAAGCACAAATACATGGTGCTTTATCAGAACAACAGAAAAGTAACCAATACACCACGCATGCACGCATAGAGGCTAGACGTGTCTTCTTCAGTTACTCACTGCCTTATGTTGGGGGATGGCTGGCGTCTCTCACTGAACTTCGAGCCACTGCTACGGCTGGCCTGGCCTTCTGTAAGCCCCCGCAATCCTCATAGTTCTGCCTCCCAAGCACCGGGGTCACAGATGTGTACCCCTTGGCTTTTCCATCGCTGCTGGGAACCACTTTCAGGCCCCATACTTGTATAGCAGACACTTTAGCGCCTGAGCCTCCTCCCAAGCCCATAGGTTCACAAGGGTTGTGTGTTCTATTTTCTTCTCAATATTGTAAATATTCGTGCGCTTGTCTTTGACCACCTCAAGCTGCTTCTTCTACCTTTGGTGTTCAGCTGTTTGACAATGACCTATTATCATTCTTTTTTGGCTCCCACCTAAGTTTTTGGATCTTCTTGCATCTGTGCTTAACTGAATTTCATTACTCTGGGGGAAACTCCTAGACACTCCTAGAAAACTCCTGTCTTCTCTATTTCTCTTTTTCTCCTCCTGGCATTTCAACAGTGAATATGTTAGCCCGTCTGACATTGTCCTACAACTCTTAAAGGAATTCTTTCTTGTTTTATTCATTTTTATCTTTGATTTTGGATTGGTTAATTTTTATTAGAATATCTTCTGGTTCGTGGTTTCTTTATTTGGCTGCCAGTATTACCACACCTTGATTCTTTTTTTTTTTTTTTTTTTTAATACCTATAGTTTATTGTTGTTGTGTGTACTGCATAAGTGTGGAGGGAAGGACAACTTTGTGGAGAGGCTTCTCTCTTTCCAACTTTTACATGTGTTCTAGACACTAAACTCAGGTCACAAGGCGTTGGAAGCAAACACCTTTACCTGCTGAGCCCTCTCCCCCAGTCCCTACCCCCTACCACCATTATAAAGTAACTTTTCTATCCTGCTGAAGTTTCTCGTCTGTTTATGTATACTGGTCATCTTTTCCATTAGATTTTTATTAATTATATTATAGTTACTTTGGGGTCTGGTTATACTGACTGCTTTGTCTCTTTAGAGAGATTTGATTATTTTTTAGTCTTATAATTGATGTGTATGTATGTATTGTAGTTTGAGTGTGTTTGACCCCCATAAGTTCATAGGAAGTGGCACTATTAGGAGGTGTGGGCATGGCACTGTCAGAGTAGGTGTGGCCTTGTTGGACTCAATATGTCAGTGTGGCGGTGAGGTTTGAGGTTTCCTATGCTCAGAATACTGTCCACTGAGTCAGTACTTCCTGTTGCTTACTAGTCAAGATGTAGAACTATCAAAATAAATAAAAATAAATAAATAAATAAGATGAAGGACTCTCTGCCTTCCCTGTGTGACTTCTACAGCTGCCTGGGACTTAGTTTGTTTATCTTTGCCTTTTTGTCTGTGACAGAGGTGGCAGCATTAAATATCAAATACGATTGGGTGTGGTGGTGGTGCATTCCTGAGATCCTAGCATTCAGGAAGCAGAGGCAGGTAGAACTCTGTGAGTTCAAGGTCAGCCTGGACTATATATCAAGTTGTATACCAGCCAGGGTTACTTTATAAGACCCTGTCAAATAAAAAATAAACATATCTCAAACATGCTTACTGCACAGTTTACAGTAGACCTTTGAAGACTCTCTAAAAACCCAGTTAGACTATTGCTGCTATGACCTCAAACTTACAAATTCAGTGTCTTTAAACTAAGAAGGCAAAGTTACCTCAAAGGCCAGGGTCCATCTGACAGCTCACTTTTAAGTTTTGAACAGTCATGTCTTCAACTTGCCTGAGTAGACAAGGCCTCATGCTTGTTTGGGTTGAAAATAGGCACTGTCACTCATGGCCCTGGGCAGGTTGAGGCTCAGCTTCCAGCCCACTGGCTCAGGCCTTGCCCCTCTCTAACTATAGCTGAGGTGGACAGATAGCAGCATCTGAGAAGCCGACCCACACAGGTACTGTGCACCTCTCTTTACAGGAAAGGTGTGTCACAGCCACCATTTTTATTCTCAGAGTTGTTTTGCTCACCTCTTCCAGGTGATTTTGGCAGAGTGACTAACAGGTGACGTAGCAAAAGAAAGGTGTGTGTGTGTGTGTGTGTGTGTGTTAGATTGGCAAGGAGGATATAAAAACAAAACAAAAAACCAAGGTCAAGGACCAAGCCAGAGATGCTAAATGAAAAGCAGAAGGCTTTGGAGATGGTAAGCTGTGAGTCGGTTGAAGCTCCTGCATGGGTTTGTCACACTGTGACACTGTGGCACAGTCAGGGGTCAAACACACTGGCCTTGGGCCTCGGCTCTTCCTCTTGCCCCACGCCCTAACTCTGAGCCTCTCTGGATGCACTAATAATAATACCTACTTCACAGGTGAGGTGAGGATTAAACAAGAGAGTATTGCCAAGTGTTTAGAGTCTGGCTCAGCATACTCATTAGCAGGTGCCTGCTAGTACCACTTCCTTGCTGTTGTAACAGCATCAGGCAGGCCTGGCAGTTACCAGCAGTGCCCGAGGGCAGCAGGGTGAGACCTGTGGGTGTCAGAGCCATCCATGCAGGAGTGTCTGGCTGACCCCCATTCCTACTGCCAGCCTAGGGCTAAGGGAGGGAGGGGCTAAGGGAAGAAGCTCAGTGGATGATGGAGGAGGCCGCATAGCAGGGTCTAGAAATGCATTTCGTAGCCATGTGCTCAGGGTTGGTGGCTCCTTGCCTCCTCACCGACACCACAAGCAGCCTCAGTGTTTAGGTTAATGCCTAAAAGACTGTGAGATGGATCAGAGGGTGAGGTCCTTGTCCTTCCCAAATGTCTCAGTCCACCCCCCAATCCCAAGACCCCGAAGCAAACAGAGGTGGTAACAGCAGCATCTCTGGAAATGTGTGGGCTGGCTAGCCTGGTGTGAGTGTAGGGTGACAAATAAGAGAGACACTGACACCTAAGGTTGTCTTCTGACTTAATATATGCATCATGGCATGTGAGTACCCACATATCACACAGAGAGAGAGAGACAGAGAAAGAGGGGGAGAGGAGAGAGAAAGAGGGGGAGAGGAGAGAGAGAGAGGGAGGGGAGGAGAGAGAGAGGGGAGGGAGGGGAGGGGAGGAGAAGAGAGGAGAGAGAGGAGAGATTTTTTTTTTAAAGCCTCTAAACTCCAAATAGGACCTTTTCTGGGCTGAATGCCTCCACACTTTTCTTCAGCTTAATAAAAGCAAACAATTGCCTGGAGCAAGAGGTCGCTTCCACAGTGCTGCTGTGTTCTCTCTGATCCAGACAAAGGCCAGCTCCCAGCTCCGGCTGCATGCCAGCGACAGCAGTGCATGGTTGGAGAATGGCAGGCTGCCCCCCGCCACTGGGCAGTCACCCAGTGCTTCTCTGCAGCTTGGCCAGAGATTCTGAGAAGTTGTCCCCTTTAGAACTTCACCCCAGGCTGTGGATGACTAGGCAACATGAGCTTGCCTTGTGACATTCTGAATTCTTTGGGTTCATCTTGCCTCCAGTGCTAGGAAGCATCTTTGTGGACTGGCAAGGTACCAGGCCTAATGTTGCCTTCCTTCAGGAAGACACAGTTTCATTCCTTCCTCAGCCATACCCCTCCACTCGTCAGGAAAGCTGCTGTCTCTGCCTCTAGAACATTCTAATCTGACCTTAGTGTGCCATTTCTACTCTTTCTGCTCCTACTCAGACCTCTCTCTTTCCTAGCTCATTGCAACAATGTCCAAACAGTGCTTTCTGTTTGGTCCTTGCCCTCCTATGGCTAATTTTCATCACAGTCATATGATAGGATTGGGATAGCACAGGAATCTCATGATGGGGAGAGACCAGTGAGCTGAAACACTATAGTCAAGGTGGACAGTGATCCAAATTGGTAAGGGGAGGGAGTATGTCATTATCTAGGGCAAGGGCATATTAAGTGGAGGGACCAGCATGTGCAATGCAGGAAAGGGCTTTGGGGTGCTAGAAAAACATAAAGGAGGCCAGTGCTGCAGAATGGAGTGAGCCAAGAGGCAAGCGGGAACAGCTACAGGTAGAGATCATTGGGCAGATGCAGGAGGGCCTGGGCAGGGCTTTGTGGATTATGTCTGGGATCTTTCCATCTGGAGACTGGGAGACACTTACTTATCATTGCACCTACAAAACATTTCTTAAATGCCTACTATGTGTCTGGTGCTATGGTAGGTGCTGAGGATAAAGTGATAAAACAGATGTAGTCCTTGACCTTTGTTTCAAAGCATATGGTCTAGCAAAAGATGTGCACTAATCAAAAGATCCCATAAGTCAGTACAGAATGACCTGGCCATCACAAGCCATGGGGCCTCCCCAGAAGAACAACTATAGGTTTTGACCTCATCTTGGGGGCTTTGGGAATGGTTTTCTTACAGAAGTTACAGTCAGTCTGAAGCGAGAGTGATGAGGAGTTGCTGAGCCCATGAATTAAGGGAAAGATGTTCTTGGTGTAAAGAACTCAAAGAACAAAGGTCCTAGGTGGAAGGGAACTGGGTCAGAGGCCAGCAGGAGGAACCAGAGAGAGGAGGCGGCTGGAATGTGTGCCTTGGGGAGCGAGGGTGAGGATTTGGGGCCTCAATCTCAGAACACAGGAAGTCGCCGAGGGCCTTTAACCTGAGAGTGACACAGATCAGCACCATAAATGGTTTTTTTTGGGGGGGGGCCCTTCACCTTGTGCTGGGATGGAGGTAAAGGCAAGAGGAGAGGAGAGGTGCTCAGGAAGTTAACATTGGGGCCCAGGCGAGAGACGATGGCTGACTCAAAGGGCAAGGAAAGAGAGCAAGTTAGATGCACTTGGGAAGTAATTTGGAGGTAAAAATCTGCAGTCCTTGCTAAAGGGGACAAGAGTCTGTGTTGGTACACTTAGTGGACACACTAACAGAGGGACACTGAGCCACAGACACAGTAATAGAGGGACACTGAGCCATGGACATTCTCCTGATAGATGCAGTGCAGAGGTCACCTAGGAAGTTTCCTGGACTAAACAGAAAACTGAGGCCACTGTGGCCTTATAGGAAGCACACAGGAGAGATGACTAAAATAATGGACTCATCAAGGAATAAATCAACCACAACCCTGTGGAAAAGTCATCACATCCAACTCTAGAAAGCTTAAGAAAATGAATGTTGTATCTTACATGTAATATGTGCATATCATTAATTCAGATAAACTAAAAGCTGTGTTTAAGATAAACGGGGAAATTGGAACACCAGCTGAGCCTCAGATGCCGTAAGGACACTGTGATTTAAAATGCATGCACTCATGTGAACATATACATAGGCACACATATTTAAAGTGAATGCAGACACAAATACATACTTAAACCTTATGAAATTTGCACAGTAAGTTATTGGGAGTGAATAAATGTTTTAATTTTTATTTATTTTATGTGTTTGAGTGTTTTGCTTGAATGTGTCTGCCTGGTGCCTGTGGAAGTTTGAAGTGGAGTTGAAAAGAGAGATGCACTCCTCTAGAACTGGAGTTTGATGGTTGGGTAGACAGCACTAAGCTCTGGCTGAGGAACAGCCTAAAGCAGCACCCACCGATGCCAAGGGGAGCCCGGACTTCGCCAAAGGACAGGTCTTAGGGAAGCAGCACCCTAGCCCTGCCTATACTTCCTGCCTGGCTACTGGCCAATCAGTGTTGTATTCATTAACCAGTAAGAGAAACATATATACAGAAGGACATCCCCATTAAGCCTTGGCAGCTCTTCTACGGGACCTGGGTTCAATTCCTAGTACCCACATAGTGGCTCACAAGCCACTGGAACTGCAGTCCCAGGGGATCCAGTGTCCTCTTCTGGTCTGTGTGGGCACTGCATGTATGTGGTGCATGCAGGCAAAGCACCCACACAAATAAACTATCAAAAATGAAGGGGGAAATGGGTTAATAAAGGACAGTCAAGTGGGAAGCCATGTTAGGTCAGATGGTCATGAGGGCTTCTCTGTGGAGGTAACTTTGAACCATAAGACAAAGAAAATATTGAAAGATGCCACACGAGGACCCAGGGAGGAGCAAATAGCAGTGTGGTAGTTGTGAAACATGATTGTGCCAAGAAGGAAACGACAAAGGCCGAATGTAGGGCACAGCTTTAATTCGGCACTCTGGAGGCAGAGGCAGATGGGTCTCTTTGGATTGAGGCCAGCCTGATCTATATAGAAAGTTCCAGGTGAGCCAGGGCTACATGGTAAGACCCCGTCTCAAACAAAAAACCACCCCGAAGAAACTAAAGCTAAACCAACCAACCAAACAAACAAAAAAGCTAAACAATAAAGAAGTAATATGCTTAAGTGAAATGAATAGAGGCAGGAGTTTTTTTTTAATAAAAGTTTTAATTTTTTGCAAAGTGAGTCATTCTTGAATGCATTAAAGTAACTAGAGGATGATCCAATCAAGAGGAAAAGCTGAATTCACAAGAGAAGGGACAGTCAGTAACAATGTCCCTGGGAAGGCAAGAAAGGGTAAGCCTTGGGACAAGAGAAACCAATGCCTCCTGATTCTGTTAGGAAGAAGCTTCAAGCTTGTGCAGGGAGCAAGATGGCAGCCATTGTGCTCATTTATGCCACCCATATGGGGAGGAGGGTGGGCCCTGGGGGCACCCTGGGGATAGGGGTGAGGGTATGAGAGAGGGCAGGGCTAACTAGTCACACAAAGAGTGGAGGTTGTGAAGAGAGAAGCACAGCAGGGACTGCCATGGACATTGGTGGCCACGGTCTGACAGGTGAAGGACAGCAGAAGACAGCCAGGGCAAGGGAAGTGGCCGGGCCTGGGTCAGGTGTGTGGACCGTCACCATGGGGTGAGGTCGGTGTGGAAAGTGGGACTGAGGCCACAAGCAGATGGTTTCAGTGTGGGGTCTGAGATCCCCATCTCACACTGGGCCCTACAGCCCCGGCTGCCCACTCTTCTCCATCCTTAAAATATACTGTGGCTTCAAGGTCCATTTTAGAGCCTTTTGCCAACTTAAAGCAAGCTGCTGCTGGCCCCCTGGGATGGCTCAGCCAGTAAAGGCGTTTTTCAGGGAAGCCTAGTAATCTGAGTTTGAGCCTCAGGGATCCATATAGGAGAAGGAGAGAACTAGTTCCTTCAAGTTTTCCTCTGGCCTTTCCCTCATGGCATGTGTGTGCCTTGGCATGCCTTTGCACATGTGTGCACATGCATGTGTACACACACACACATATACACACATACACACACACACACACACACACACACAAATAAACAAATAAATAAATGCTCCCAGCTCCAACAGGAGGCAGTGTGGCTTGCTTGCTAGGCAAGGATCTCCAAATGCTGCACGTGGATTCTCCCAGGCTGCGGTTTTGGACAAGACTGGAGGAAAGCATGATGGATGGAAGCCAGGTCCAGAACAGCTTTCTTAGGCTGAGGCCCACTATCTTCACCTACAAGGCGATTCCAAAATACCACGAGGACATCTTGATGCCACCTCACCTTGCAGTGGCTCTTACCCAACACTGTGCATCACAGACCGGCACTGGTACCCATAAGCCCCTGGTACCACAAAGCCATCAGATCTTCAAAGGCACCGGCTGCACACTGTGCTTCTGGGCTGCTCTGACCAGCTGCGTCTGTTAGTAGCAGCCAATAGAGGACTACGTGAAATCAATTCCTCTGGGGACTCAGAAACTCAGGCCACACTTACGTTCATTTTCTCCCTTCAGCTTAACTCAGGTGATCAGAAAGTTTGCAAAGCAGCTGGACGAGTGGCTGAAAGTGGCTCTCCACGACCTCCCAGAAAACCTGAGAAACATCAAATTTGAACGTAAGTATTAAGTTTGGAAGCAGAACGGGGTGAGGGCAGCTTTTCAAAGCCACTCTTTCACATGGTGAGTCGTTGATGAACCAGGGGTCAGGCTAAGTATTTCCCATGTGTGAACTCATTTAATCCTTGTAAAATGTTTGTTGCCAGCAGCACAGAGAAGGGATTCGGACTTAGGTAGTAAATAGCAAAGGCAGGATTTACTCCCAGTATCCCTGACTGATTTCCAAAGTCGGCCAGTGAACACAATACTACTAACTCCATTTAATCCTCTGGCAGGCACCACTATGTGGTAGGACATTGTGCCTCTACCTACAGGTGCAGAGAGGCAAAGAAACATCCCCAAAGCCACACAGCCACACAGCTGGTGACTGGGAGACACAAATCAAACTCTTGTCAGCGCTCTAAGCTCCTGTCCAATGACTGGCTGTAGCTAGTATAAGAGCCTCACATATTCTCTGCCAAATTAGAAAGCTAAGTTTAATATTTCTTATAAGGGTACTGGAGCCATGGATCTTTTCTTGGCTTAGTAGTGTGTTGTCACTCCCAGCATTTAGCTGAGTCTGAGAAGGCTGGTTCTGTTTTTTCTGTCTCAATGGCTCTGAGCACAGTGAACACTCCTGTACAACACATTTGTTGCTATCAAACAACGATGAGATGATTTTAAGCAAAACAAGGTTTTAAAATACATTTCTTAAAGGCCCGTTTGAATACAGCTCGAAGTCCTTGCCGAAAGCAAGTGCCAGTGTGGAAAATGAAGGCGATCAAATTACCCTTTCTCTGCAGGCAAAGAAGCCCTTTGAGGCGCTTTGAGGCCGCCTGCAGTGCCCATCACCTATTGATAAAGCCTGCTTTATTTCACGGCTCTCAGTTCTTTTCTTTTCTCCAGCACTGAATTCCACATCACAAAGTTAAAGAAAAAGTAATTAAGGAGCAGGATTAACAATTGATCAGCCTGGAAAATTAGAAGTTCATCTCCCCCGCACACACAGCCCCCCCCCATCCTTCACCACCCCACACACTATTTTTCAAACCAGGCCAGCTCTGGGTACAAATTAGAATAATCCTGGGGAAATTTCTGACTATTTCATGACCAGTTCAGAAATTAATGAGAAGAATGCCCCGTGTCCATTTTAATTACAGCAACAAAACAAACCCGTTCAAAGTCTGTGTCGAGGAGGAGGTGAGCCTTCCACCTGTGCATGCTTGGAGGAAGTGGTCCTCCCCAGGGAGCCTGAGTATTTGGAAAATGTGCAAGAATGTGGAAGCAAACCCCCTCCACACCCAGTGCAGGACTGGAAGAATGAAGACCATGAACAGGAACATGTCTAAAAAAAAAAAAAAAAAAAAAAAAAAAAAAAAAAAAATCCATAGTCAAATTATCAGACAACTAGGCAAACAGCCTTTCCTAAATCAGAACCCAGAAATGGGTGCCAGAGGCCATTTGGCCAAATGATAAATGATAAAAGTCAAATTCCCTTATGGGGTAGCCCAGGTTCCATGCCGGTAACATCCCTGACCACACTGCACTGAGGTCAGTCATGGTTCTGTTGAGACATACTGTGTTTTAAAGGGCTTCTTTCAAAGCTTTCATTTGATTCCTGTTGATTATCTGGAAAGCAGTGATTGAGCTTGCAATTAGCAAAACTAAAGACGAGTGAATAATTGCTTTTACTCACAGTTGATTGGTGCCACCGTTTCTCACACCTGTGAGTGTGGCATGTGCATGACTTTGAAATCTGTGCCCTAAATGTCATCATTAGGAAATGCTGTTGGAGCCAAAGCAGGGCAACAGTCAGACGCAGGGGTCTGCCAGTTAGCACCTAAAAACAGAGGCAGGGTATTGAGGCAAAGTTAGAAAATGGAAACTACTCTCTGAAATCTGCTCCTGGTTGGAATATCAAGCATGCAAATGTTTCTAGCTTCCTGTTTTCTTGTTGCAGTATCAAGAAGGTTTTCCCAAATTCTGAGACGGCAAACATCGCTGAATCATCTTTGCCAGGTAGCTGTCTTCTCTCATTTATTAACCCACTGCTGAGTCATTGCAAAGGACACAGGCTACATCCACGAGGATAACTTCCTGTGTCGTCAAGCTGGTGGATGGCAGGGCTTACTCTATTTTGTGTTTAGTTTCTATACATAGGGAACTAAAAACCTCAACCCACCAGCAAAGTTGTAACTTGTATACAGAATCATTTCTAACAGCTGTTGCTCCTGAACCTTTCGGCTATGGCCTGGGTTCCCAATTACGTGTTTCCTTGAAATAAATTGTTGGGTTTGTCAACTACTGTTGACAATGGGTAAAGCAATTGTTTATACAGTGCCCTTGGCCTCTCCCAAGTAGATACCAATTGTCTCACTCAGTATGACATTTGAACACCCTAGTTACATGTAGAAACCCTTCAAGAGGTAGCAGCTTTCCCAGAGAAGCATGTAACCTGGCCAGTAGTCAGCGTTCAGCAGGGATGACCATTCCTTCGTTTCTCCTCACCCCAGTTCTCTGTAAGAGTTGGTGCACCTCACTCATTCATCTCAACTGCCTTTCCATGCCTACACAGGTGTGGTTGCTCATGTGTGGCTCTTGGGGGATCCTGGTTATGCAATGATGCAATGACAAGGCAGGAGGTAGGGTTTCCTAATTTGGAGTGGTCCAAGGAAGGCTCCGCCTTGGAAACCTGTCACCTCTCACTGTTGTTACCCTGTGCCTATCCAAAGGCACAGGCAAACCTTTACAGGTTGGGGCAGCTGTGCCAAAGGCAGCTCCTGGGCATTGCTCCAGGGAGTATCTGACAAATGAATGCAACTCGGGGAATAACATGATTATTAGAAAAACCAAGACACACTTCGTGTCCTGAATTCCTGACTGTGTGTGCCAGCCGCATTCTCTTGCTCTCTTATACTTGGAAGAGGGAGCCTTAGACCAACCTGGAAACACACGTGCTTTGGGTGTTTTACTCTGGGCTCAGATACTTTAGGAAGGGCTGTGCCCCTTTAATGGACATATAGATATCTATTCCTAAACCTACACTCAAGCGTGGCATGTGTGTGTATGCTTATACTCATGAACACGGACACACATGCACACACACACACACACACACATCCTCTCCACCTTGCACACATTGAGCATGGAATTCATTCAGGAAATAGTACCTTTCCAACCTCACAGACAGGCCCAGACATAGGGACCAGCCAGAACTGTGAACTGGTATTAATTCTGGGACGGAAACACGACAGTATATTTGAACTAATAAAGCAATGAGCTTCCCTAAATACATACAGAGAGCAAGTCAAGACCCAAAGAAAGGCCCCTCCATACAGTCGGGCACTAACCAGGCAGGCACCCATTGTCATGTTATGCATGTCATGAAGAAAATGGGGTAGAAACAGGAAAAATATTGAATATCAAATATAGACTAACTGGAGAAGGACTCTCCATGTCTGTCACATAGAGGCTGGAGCATCAGGACAGCGGGGCTGCAGGGAACACAGGGTGTGAACACAGGGTGTGAAGGCTCCCAAGGGTGAGCACAGTCCATGCAAAGCAAAGCCGACCTCAGCAATGACAGTGTGTCCGTGTGTGTCCATGTGTGTCCATGGTGCTTTGCTTCCAGTCTATGTGCTATGCTTTATGGCCACCATGAGGAACAGGAGGCAGGTGCCACCGTGTCTCTGTTTCACAGACTGAGACCCGGGGGACGAGCAACAGAGCTGGGGCATGAGCCAGGTATGCCTGGGCCCACAACACCGTCCTTCACGCTTTGCGATGTTCATGGTCAGAGACTAGTATGTTCAAACAGTTGGACATTCTGGGGGTCTCTGACCTTCAAACAGTACTACAGGTATTTCACTGGATTTGATTTGTGTCCGAACAGAGGATGGCAGGGGCTCTACTACCTCTGCCTAGAAGTTCACAGCCTTAGAACTAGAGACCAAGGATATCCTTGTGTGTTTCTAACTTTTACAATAATTTTACTAGAAGATGTTTTAAAAATTTTAAGTATAAGAAATAATCCTAGATAATTTTTCCTTTGGTCTTAATATTACTCCAGCTTGTAGATTTCGGTTCACTAACAATAGTTTGCTTGGGAAGTTATAGTTTTAAAAGACACACACGTGCATACACAGACAGACACACACAGAATGCACCTATATCTTAATGTCTTTTTTCTACCTTATTCACATTTGTTTCACTCTAATTATATAAAAACAAACACAAAGGATAAGAGCCAAAAATGCATAATATATTTGTGTGAAAAATATACATTGTGAAAATTCTAGGTACCAGTTAGGCCCAGGGTGGCCAGAGTAGTTCCTCAGTGTGGCCCTGTGACTTTTCTGACATTAGAGACACGCAGGTTTATTAAACACAGAACTCCTTTCTACCAGCTCAAGGCAGAAAGCTACCAGGTCTCTGGGCCTCATCCCATGGTATGTTGGGGTCAAGACCAAAGGGGTTGGGAACAACAGCAGGGTGTGGCCTGGCCCAGGCCAAGAGAAAAAGAAGGGGGATGGGAAAGCTTCAGGAAGAAAGAATCTGTCTGGATTCTCTGAGTTAAGTGATCACCACTGTTTCTTGAAATGGAGCTTGCCTGGATTTCAGAGTAGATTACAAAATGTGGTAAGCATACCCACTCTGACACACGGGACAGAGAGGAGGGCTTTTAACCGGACAGTTCGGTGTGCTAACAAGTCGGTTGGGTTGGATTACAGGCATCTCGAACGGTGATCCACAGTGCAGACATCACATTCCAGATGCTGGAGGACTGGAGGAATGTGGACCTGAACAGCATCACCAAACAAACCCTCTACACCATGGAGGACTCCCGGGACGAGCACCGCAGACTCATCGTCCAGTGTAAGGTGTCCCACCAGGGGTGTGGTCCTTCTGTTTCTGTTTTTAAAAGAAAAGGGGGAAAAGGATCTTAAATGTTCTAGTGATATTCCCACGCTGTCCCTTCCCTGGGTCCCATTCTTCTTATTGTTCCTGTTAAATGGGTTGGCCCAGACAGGAGGGCAAACTTACTTAAGAGGGTGTGTGTCAACATGGCTGATGTAGTAGAGCAGCACACAATGACCCTGGATGCCATGAATACCTTCAAGGCAGTGAGTGACCGAGAAAATACAAACTGAACCGTATGTTCTGGTTTGGTGTATGCTAGTATGGAGCCAGTTGGATGTGGCATCTATGTGTCATTGGACGGTCATGTGACCATGATGTGGGGAAGATGTTTGCTCCCAAGAGTGAAGCCACACCTCAGGAGGACAGAAGCGTCACCCATCACCTTTAGACACTCCTGTTCCTCTGAGCCTTGGCCCAGCTGACTGCTCAGGGCATGCCTTACTTTGGCCAGCCATCTTTTCCTCCTTAGGGCAGTAGGGCACATGCTCTCAGGTGGCATAGTCAGAACCCCTCAGAGATTCCAGAGAGGGTGGTGTTGAGAGTATACTGAAGGCTGGTTGGTTAGAGACCCAGACCTTCTGTGTGGGGTAAATTACATCATCACCCAATACCCACCAGGAGAAGGGGCTCTTCAGAAAAGCCCAGGCCCCTTGACTTACAGGGCCGGCTCCTCCACACTGTTGTCCTGGGGTTTCTGTTTCTGCCAGTCAGTCTAAGCCTGGGCCATTTATGAACCAACATTCTCTGAGAGTCCCTATCAGAGGGTGTTTCCTTTTAAGGCCTCTGAAAAGGCAAACAGCCCTAAATATCTGAACCTGTGGCCATCCACTTACTCCCGGGTTTAGACCCTGGCCTTAACTCGTGTTCTTAGTCCTTCTTCCTGCACAGTTGCACATTTGTCTGCTGTTGAGTCTTAGCAAAACCCTCTGACATAATAATGAGTTTATCAGCTACCTCTCCCTGCCAGTGCCATATCAAACCACCATGTGTAGAGGCATTAATCCTGCTTTGCAGCCACATTTGAAAAAACTCGGCTCCAAAGAGTGGATGGGGCTTTCCCAGGGTCCCATGGTCACCATGTGGCAGTGCTAGACCTTAAACCTAGACTGGGGAGGGTCAGCCTCGCCAGCCCAGGACAGCTCCTGCTGTGAAGCAACGAGGGACCAAGGTTGTAACCTGTGGTTGAGCTCAACAGGGTACAGGGTCTTTCTAAGCACTGTTAGGATTCTTGTTTGTTTCCTGTGTGTGTGTGTGTGAGTGTGTGTGTGCTCAAGTGTGTGCATGTGTGTGTGTGTGTGTGTGCATGTGTGTGTGTGTGTAGCTGCACATGTCATAGCATGTGTGTACAGCACAAAGGACAACCTCAGCCTTTACTTTCAACCTTGTTTGAGGCAGGATCTCTTGTTCGTCACCACCTACACCAGGTATCCTAATTAGGGTCACTATTGCTGATGAAACACCATGACCAAAGCAACTTGGGGAGCAAAGCGTTTACATTTCTGCATTGTAGTCCATCATTGAAGGAAGTCAGGACAGGAACCTGCAGGCAGAGCTGATACAAACTCCATAGGGGAACGCTGCTTACTGGCTTGTCCCCGTGGCTTGCTCAGTCTGCTTCGTGTGTGTGTGTGTGTGTGTGTGTGTGTGTGTGTGTGTGTGTGTGTGTGTGAAGTTTTATTAGAAAGGGAAGATGGGGAGGAAACATAAAAGACACAGAAAGGACAGCAAAGGAGAGGGAGACAGGAAAAGTCCTGTCTGCCGCAGGGGAACAGCAGGAAAGAGAGAGCAGAAAGAGAGCTGGAAGGAGAGGAGATGGGAAGAGAGCTCAGTCCGCTTCTTACAGAACCCAGGACCACCTTCCCATTGGTGGCCCTCCCCCATCAATCACCGATCCAGAAAATGCCTTCCAATCAGATCTTATGGAGGCATTTTCTCAGATAAGGTTCCCGCCTCTTAGATGACTCCAGCTTGGGTTAAGTTGACATAAGACTAGTCAAGCTAGCGGGCTTTTAAGCTCCTGAGAGGTCTTCTATCTCTACCGACACTTCAGAATAGTAGTTGTGAATTTACAGCTGTGTGCTGCCCAACACACAGCTGTTTGTGTTTGTTTGTTTAGTGAGGGTGCTAGGAACCCAGACCCACACCCTCAAACTCACCCATTGAGCCATCTCCCAGCTTTCAGGCCAGATTCTAGTTGTGTCTCCCCATTCTCAGGGCACCCTAATAGCCTGTGGAAAGCCACTGGTCTCTATGCCCCAGGGCCTCCCAATGGGCCAGGTATGGAAGTGGCATCTGATACTGTCTGAGGAGTAGAGACCCACCAGTGAACCTGCTTCTCGGTTTCAGCACCACTGACAGTTTTTCACTGGCTTCCCTCTTCCCTTGGAGCCTCTTGTGGGAACTAAGTGTGAACCAGACACTGGAGAACACAAGCGTGGAGCCAGTTGCAGGGAGCAGGTTCTGAGCCCGTGCTGGAGCCCTATGGTGTCACCGCTGCCTCCATCTCTAAGAGAGAATCTTTGGGTTCTCGAAGTTCTCTTAGGTGCAGGATGGAATGATGTCATTTGAAACTGGAACTAGACTGTGGTTCAGTTCATCCCAGCTGGCTCTCACTGATGTCTATCCTGGTTCAGGCTCTGTGTTAGAAGCCAGGTAATGACTGGGATAGAAGCTGCCCTTCTGACACAGCCCAGAGTCCATGGTGAGGCCAAAGCTGATGGACACCTGCGCTGAGGACACAGGATGCAATGTCAGAAAGGAGAGTTTGAGCCAGGGAGCCAAGCCGGAAGAAGGTGCATGGCCCAGTACATGGGTGTCATACAAGAGCAAAGTCTGTGAAACATACAGAATGGGCCCAGGGGTCAGTCTGAGCAGGGCTGGGGGCACCACATGCTGCACTTGCACCTTCATTACCACCAGGGGACAGATCTGTCAGTTCTTGCCGTCAGGGTTGCCATTGCATCTATGACATAGAGCCTGAGTAGGGATGCTCGGCTCACTTTAGCTCTTACATATATTGGTATCTGAGCACAACACCAGAATTAAAATTAAGGGATGCCTTAGGTAAGGGTAGGGCTGTTTTCCCCCCAAAGTCCTTGCTGGAACCTTGGCTCCTGTGCATAGAGATCATGGTTTCTAGTTCTGTAAGATGAGACTATTGCAGAGGGGTTAAACAAGACTAAGCACCACACTTAGTGCACAGTAGAGTGCTCCACAGCAGAGTGCTCCACAGTAGAGTGCTCCAGAAGGCAGTGGTTAGGAGGCAGATGCATGAGCAGAGCTATTTGCAGTCTTAACTGCTGTTCTCTAGCTGTAAAACATTTTTGTGTTTCCTCATCTTGAAGTGCCTTAGTTTCTTTATTTTCAGATGGGAAAAGTTGAGAGCACTTTCCTCCTTGAGTTATCAGTCCACTCATTCAACAACCAGCTACATATCTACTCTGTATAAGGTAGTCCTAAGCAATGGGATCAAACAGCCCCCATGGCATTAACACTTGACTGACTCCATCCATGTAAGTCACAGAAGAGAGTGCCTGACACTTAGTAAGTGCTCCAGAAAGTTAGCTGTTGCCAGATTGACTGTACAACCATTATTGTCTCCACTGGCAACCAAAGACACATTTGTATCTCTAGGCTCTGCTGGGTAACTCACTTGCTTTCTGGCTCTGAGTTAGTTCATTAATCTCATTAAGGAATAGAACCTTGGACCAGTTAGTTTTCCCATTGCAGGGGTAAATTTACCCTGATAAAGCCAACAAGTTCATTTGGGCTCACGGTTCATCATGGCAGGGTAGTCATGGTGGTAGGAGCTTGAGGTGGCTAGTCCAGGGTCAAGAAGCAAACAGTGATGAGCACTCGTGTTCAGCTTGCTTTTTCCTTTTTGCTCAGTTCAAGGACCCCAGCCCATGGAATGGTACCACCCATCGCTAAGGTGGACCTTCTCACATGTGAAAAAACTGCTCAGATGTGTGGAAGCAAGAGAAAAGTACAGATCCTGAACTGTTAGCACCATGTCTAAAATATTCAGTGAAAGAGATGTCTGCGAGGAGAGCATCCCCAGCCATGTCCCTATTTCCCACAGTGCTTCACTGATGCCCAACCACTTCACACGTACTTTCCGAACCTCAAGCTAAAGACAGGATGGAGAGAGGACCAGATGGTTTCATTTGATTAGTGTGCAATGAGTACACGTGCCTAGCACTGAGAGGCCAGTAAGCTACTCATACAGTATAGTTGTGGTCCAGAAACAGTGGGATCGTTGCTCGTGCCCCATCCCTGGGCAGACAGCAAGGGATGGTGATGGCCCAGCCTCATGGTTAAGTAAGCTTTCCAGGATAGCAGCCATGGCATAGGTAATGCATCAAACAATGACATGAGCGAAGAACCAGCAACCAGACTTGACACCTATTGGCCAGTGCTATTAATGATACATTAAAGGCAGACTGAAGACAGAAATGCGTTATGAGGGGGAGGGATGCCCTGTCTGCTGGCGAGAGGCAGAGAGGCAGAGAGGCAGAGGGAGGTCTGGAAGGGCTTCATCCATGCTGTCCCGTCCTCTGCACCTTTAAGGATAAGCCACTCTGGCACTACAACATGACTGAGGTGTGTGGGGTTCTGCTTCACTCACAGTGTACCAGGAGTTTGACCACCTGCTGGAGGAGCAGTCGCCTATCGAGTCTTACATAGAATGGCTGGATACCATGGTAGACCGATGCGTTGTGAAGGTTGGTAGGCAGAAGGGAAGGGGTGGCCATAACTCCTGCAGATGGTTGTTTGTCTCTGTGCACACCTACCCAGCATAGAACCCCAGCCCCAACCCTGGGAGGTGGAGGGGACAGTGACAGGACTGTTTTAATCTCCTGTTCCTGATAACCCAAGCCTGCATCCCTTACCTGTGTGTCACACAGCGTCTCAACCTCAGGTTTCCTTACGTGTGTTTATGCTGCTAAAACCAAAAAGACAAAAGAAAAAAAAATCACTGCTCCACAGGCTTGAACTTGAAGCTTTACAGACCTTCCCTCATTTTTCGGAGACAATAGTGAATGAAGAATTGAAGTATTAAAGCCATTCACTTGCTTGTAGGTGGCTGCCAAGAGACAAGGGTCCCTGAAGAAAGTAGCGCAACAGTTCCTGTTGATGTGGTCTTGCTTTGGTACAAGGGTGATCCGGGACATGACCTTGCACAGTGCTCCCAGCTTTGGTAAGGCTATGCCAATGTCTCTCTCTCTCTCTCTCTCTCTCTCTCTCTCTCTCTCTCTCTCTCTCTCTCTGACACACACACACACACACACACACGGTCCAACCACTTTTCTGGACTCCGTGCACTGAGACTGTGGGGTTATCTTCTATCTCTTGAGGCCACAAGGACACCAGTGTGAAGGTATCTGTGGGGGTAGGACAAAATGTGTTAGGTTTTCCAGAGAGCAAGAGGGCACGGAATGCTAAGGGGAAGTAGTAAACAGCCTGTGTGAAAATAAGGTGTTTGCTGACAGAGAGGCCTGCCAACATTTAAGGAGGTACAGGTGGCAGTAGCCAAGCACCCTTCGTCATATGTCCCCAGTGTCTACCACTTCCAAAGGACAGTCTGCAGAATCCCACAGCTGTGGGTATTTAAGACTGGGCACACATAGGCCCCTGAGTTTAAGCCTTGGCAAATGGCCTGACTGACACCCAGGGTTATTTTCTGCTGACTTTCATTTGTCAGATGATTGACTTTTGATGTTTTGATTGTCATTTCTTCAGAAATGCACTCTGGCCTGCTCTGTGGAATAGGCTTTTGCATATCCCCCTTTGCCTTCCTGATCCCTTGGATCACCCCCTAGTCCTCACTTATTACTCCCCATTGTGACCGTGCCTGAGGTCTGACTCCAGGTTCTCTCCCTGCAAGCAGAAACCTGGTCCCCAACTCAGTTAAGATATTATGCTTCCTGCAGGACACAGTTGTCTACTTCTCAGCAGAGACGATATACGTCTGAGTCCATACTGTCCATAGCAAGGGAGATGGGACCCGGAAAGACTTTATCTAGGTATTCAAAATCCTAAAACACTGGCCTCTGTTTTCTGGCATCCCTACCAGCAATGGTTGGTAACGTTTCTGGGTAATTGCTTCCATGCTGTCTGCCTCTGCAAATACAGATGTGATTTGTGTCTCATAATTTCAGGTTAAGCCAATCAACTCTCAGCTCTGTCCAGGCTTTTAATTGGATGCTTTTCCATCTAGCTTTTTACAGACTTGTCACCATTTCCCAGTTGTGTCATACAATGAAGTGCCAGTGTGGTAAACACAGGAGTGTTAGTTAGGAACTGTTATCTCTCCATTATTGAGTGGAGTTGGCCCACTCAGACATTTTGTTGGTTATTTCTTTCACTTCAGTCCTGGGGTTCTCTGAACCTGCCCATGCTTCAGCTACAGATGGAAACTGTCTTTGAGCAGAGCATGGGAATGCTCTGATTACCACTGCCTGGGCAGTGCCATCAGATGTAGCATTTTGATGACTTCCAGTCCATAGTGGTGAGCGTTAGCACATGTTACCTATAGCGCTGGAAAGATCATTTGTGCATAACTGCTTTTGATTAAGCGATGGATGAATGGTATCTTGAGATTTTTTTTATTGCTTCAAAAATCAAAGATTCAACCATTTTTCACACAAATACATGCATGCACAGGGACAGTGAGGAGGCTCTGCTCCATGCCTTATCACTTATCCTTCATTTGCTGATCCATGAAATAAGCATGCACTGACACCATCTCCCATCATGCAGGGATGGCAGTTTCTTTGTCATTATTCTTTGTAGTTCATTTCTTTGGGCTGAGTTAACAATCAATGTAAAATGGAAGCCTGGACAGAACAGTTATGGTTTATTAATGCCTTGGATTTTTTTCCTGAGGTACAAGTCATTAAAATGGGTACAGTGTGTTTATGTCTTTCCTAATCACACTGTTGTTGGATGTGCTGGAAACTGAGTTAAATGGCATATATATCTGTGTATTCATACATACATACATACATACATACATGCATGCATGCATACACACACACACACACACACACACACACACACACACACACACAGTGAAAAGAAAGGCTTTAACCCAATTTCACTCTTACAGTATTCTCAGCCTTGAGTAGGTTGAAACAATGCCTGCCTCTAAGGCTATTCAGCAAACTCTAAACGGTCCAGCTCATCTGACTCATTGTTGAGTTCGGCAGCTTGGGGCGACAGGAAAGTTGAAAGAATGTGCAGCAGACAAACGCCCACCTCCCCCTTTCTGTCTATATATGTCAAAGACCCAGTGGGTGGCTGTGTTTGGGTCATGTGTTTGCTGTATGAAAACAGCTAATTAGGAAAAAGAGCCCTCTGTTCCCTGGCCCCTCCCCCAGCGACAGGGGCCAGCTCTATGCATCTTATACCTCCTGCATGGTCCTCAGCATGGGCAATGAATGGTGTGGGGTCCGTCCCAGTGCCAGCATGGCAGGCTGACCATTACAATGGCCTTGTGGAATACCTCAAAGGGCCCTGGCAGACTCCATCTCCTCTCAGAGCAACTCTTTGAACTGTAGTCAACACCTTCCTTCTTCTGGATTACTTTTCGATTTTGTCTCCAAGATTCCTTTTGCCGAGTCTAGGCTTTGATCTAGAGCAGACAGACTTTGTGCCATAAACAGTGTCTCTAGAAGTTTTCAGAAATGGCAGGTGACAAGCTTTGGACCTGGTGATGTTGAGCAATGGAAAGGTTCTGTCTTAAAAAACAAAACACTTTTGTTGACTGATCTGATTCCAGTTCAGGGACGCCTGGGTCTCTAGCCAGCACACCAGTCTTCGCACTTTCAGTGTGGATTTTCACGAAATGTCCATTTATTTTACTGCTGTGGGTGTCTGGAATGTGACAGCAGTTGCTAGCATACTCTAGAACAAACCTATCTAAAAAGCCCATCGTTTACAGGGGATGGGCAGGGTTACACACTCTTCCACACATCGGTTTTCTACGTGATGGTTTTGTGGTCCAGCATCAAAGCTCACCCTTCTGGGCCAGGGCTGGAAGACCCCATGGGCATCTGTGATGGAGTGGCTCCCAGATGTGCTGGCTGTGATGGAATCTTCCAAACTGCCTGCCTACACTCAGGTGCCCTGGTTCCTGTTACCCAGAGCCCGCTAAACATGGATCCCATTGTTGCTAGTGACGCTTGAGAGAATGAGTTTCCTTCTCCACCCCACAGGCCCATGAAGGAGGAGGACTTGCACCAGATACTGAGGGACAGGGCATCCTTCTCAGCTCAAGCGTGTGCCCTTTCCCATATGCTGTCCTGACCCACCTATCTTTCTCAGTTAGATACCAATGGGAACTATGACCCAGTATATATGAAGAGCCTAAGAGATTTTAGACTCCATATTAGTGTTTTTCCTTTTGCTTTCTTTAGTATGTCAGACAAGGAAGCTGGGGTGGATTTAATAAGGGCTTCTCAGACCTAGACATGTAAATAAGGCAAACAGAAGCCAATAATAATAATCTTCACAAATATTTAGCAAAAATATAAGATCATTTATTTCTCACTGTAACTCCATGAGGCAGGGGAACACACAGAGTGGGAAGGAAGCTTGCTGAATTTCTTTGCCCGAGATCAAGGAGATGGAGTAGCAGAGCTCTGGCTCAAAACCCATCCACAGTCACAGGATGAGACCATCCACCTGACCATACCTGCTCTGTCACCGCAGTCATAGGACTCAGATAAATGGCACAAAAGGGCTTGACAACTTTATTTTATCCACAGTGATGGTTTTAAATCTATGGGTTAAATTTTTTTAATTTAAATTATGAGAGAAAAGAATAAACATTAGAATGCTGCAAATACTAACAGATGCCAGACAACAATGGAATAATGTCTTGTTAGTGCTGAGAACAAAAATTGTCAACTTAATCAAGAATGAGAGCAACAGAAAGTCATGTTCAGTTATATAAGGACCAAAAGAAGTTGGCATCTACATATATGCATCAAAAAGCAAAGGCTGCCAAAGGGTGCACTTTAGCAAGAAGAAAACTAAAGCCACTAATACACTGGCACACAAGAAATAGCCATTTCCCTATTACCACTGCCACATAACAAACTGCCCCAAAGTAAAGAGGCCTGAAACAGCCATCTCCTCATCCAAATTCTTGTCATGGGTTCCTATGGTGACTTAGCGGTCTGCATGGGACCATCCACAGATGCAGGTCTCAGACACAGGGTATGTTCCTTCACACTCTGTTCAGATTCTGGGATTCCTCTCACCTAATCTTTAATGCAAAGTATGTATATGAATCGGGTCCTATTTTACATGGCAGAAAACTTTATGTAAACAAATCTAATTACCTAATCCTTTGTACATTTATTTGTTACTGATGTATGTAGGGAAGGGCAGGTTGGGGGGGGGGGAGGCATGCCACAACCACAACACAAGTGTGGCAGTCAGAGGGCAACCCTTGGGAGTTAGTTCTCTCCTTCCACCATACGGCTTCTGGGAATTGAACTCAGGTGTTCAAGGTTGGCAGCAAATGCCTTACCCATGGAGACGTGGTGATGGCTCCAAACTAATCTCTAAGTGTGTTCTTTACAAAGGTAAAGCCACGTTTTATGGGGAAATATATAACATGGGTTAATGAGAAGTGGATGCAGGACAATTAAAACATGTGGAGGTCTCTACAACTACTAAAGAGCCAGATTTTGTCCGGATTGCGTATCTATCCATATATGTCTTTACAGTTTAGGATGAACCAAGAGGTTATCACTATGACAACATAACCATAATTTTCAAGGGGAAATGGAATACTGTGAACACTTGGGACATGGCAAGACCTGAGGGGGTAAAGAAGACCCAGAACATAGGTGGTGAACTGAAGATCAGAACAGGGCATAGAAATGGCCAGCTGAATAAGTGAGGAGGCCTCTATTCCCATGAAAACAGCAGGCAAAAAACATTGCAAGAGGCAAGATTTTTCTAAATTATATAAGTAATCCTTAATTTATGAAAATTCCTACTTACAAGAATCAAAATCAAAACTGGAAAGCAACGTCACCCATTTAATGAGGGAGCCTCTATTTCAAACCTGTTGACAAGAGTAGGAGAAAAGCTCTTGTGAGTAGCTTTGTTTCTCATGGGTGAAAACACTACAAGACCTCATCCCAGGCTGTCTCTCTTGAGACATTCTCTCCATGTAGCCCT